GAGTCGGGAAAGCCACCAATGGACTCAGGAAGACCTGCCGAATCGAATGATATGCGACATGACCTCTTTCGACCAACTTCGTGCCCGGGGGGTGCCGACCTGACCTTGACCTGAGGTCAACACCCTAAGTTGACCTGACCCGAACAAAAAGTATATCACTCGATGCGCCTGAGCTAGCTGAACACGATGATGCCAAAATCGCGGCTCTACGGCCATTTTTGGGTAAGTTATTTACCAAAAACAGAACCCGTGCTTTAGATCACTTGACCTGACCTCAGAGGTCACCGGTTGACCTGAGACCTTTAAAGCGGGTTCCTACCAGTCACTCTGCATTATACTTTGCCGCATACGACCACTTTACCGCTTAATTCTAGTTTAATTAGCGGCGCATTAGCGAGGTGGGTTAAATCAACCCCCTCGGCCGGGGCAAATGTAGGTCCGGCGAGTGAATTTGAGGAATTCTGAAGATACGATCGTGTTCCCTACTCAATTCTGCGTAAGATGCCGGGCTCCGTATCTACGTAACTTGATCGTAACGGATACGGCGGCCGCAAACGTAAATCGAGGTCCCGAATTCCCTATTCCTCAACACAGGCGGCAGCCGGTTCCTGGTCTGCGCAATATGGCCGCCACCGTTAGACACTACGGCCAATAGGGTTGAAGCGGCAGTGCTCCCCTGTGCAAATAGGTACCTGATAATTTGCCAAGCAATACAAGTACCTACTATTTGCTTTTTATAGCATTTTTTCATTGCAAGTTCAATTAACTTTCAAGGAAAAAGTCATTTGAAATTTTAATTACATATTACATACAACCCTATAACCTGACCATATAAATTACATATAACCTGACCTTACCTTATCTACCGTAGTCCGTAAGGTACGGCCCTCCAGGTATTAACACGCGCAGTGGAAGGGTTGAGACTTGAGAGTACTACGCCTAGTGGAAGGGGGGGCGGATGTCGCCCCCCCCCCCTAAGATCTCAGCTCCCACTGGAGCTAGAACGACGAAATTTGGAGGGTAGGTGAAGGCCCTGGGGAACTCTGTTGTGTGTGGATTTCATGACTCTAGGTCAATATCTTCAAGGTCAAATGAGGTCAAATGTGGTCAAATCTGTCATATGAGCGACTTTTTTGCGTTTACACGCCGATAACTCAAAAAGTTACCGGCCGATTTTCTTTTTTCTTTCACTAAACGAAAGAATGTACATTTGTGAGTATGTATGGTGAAGTTCTAGTTAATCCAACAATAAATATGGCAGCTAGAAGCCTGCTAAGGGTAAGATGTCGCCGGCTGAAGCGGGATCGGCCGACGCGGGAAACGCGGCAATCACAATTTTGTGTTTACACACTCATAACTCAAGTTGTTACCGGCCGATTTTCAAAATTCTTTGACCATGAGCTTGCCTGTACATTTCTTAGTCTTCTCACAAAATTTGACGCGAATCGAACATAATTAGCGGTAAGGAGCGCGATGTAAAGGCGGAACCGTCCCGCCCCGGCACAGTCTACAATTCAGGCGGCGCGTAACGGCTAGCGCCGGCCGCCGCACCGCCGCGGCGGCAGGATCTTTGACTACACCGCTATTACAAGAAAAGCTGTAACCCGATTTTCTTATTTCTTGCACGGGAAGATCTGCAGTTCAATTCTGGACAGGTAGCCAAAATTTCACAGTAATATCATGTTTGCGGCGCGAGTTATTGGCGAAAAACAGGAGGGGTGGGCGGAATCCGCCCCCCCCTTCCACTGCGCGTGTTAACCCTCGCCCGCACATGGGGGGGGGTTGCCACCCCCCCCCCCCAGGTAGTCTTCCTGTTCTGCACTCAACATTTTTAGAGCTAGAAGGCTGATTTTTCGTATAGCTGCTCCTCTATCCTTTCTTGATGTCCACTGAAAATTTCAAGTTTCTGTGACTTTTGGTTTCGGAGATATGACCTTGTTTTTCAGGTCATGTCATGACCCAAATGGCCAATTCTCGACATCTTGCGTTGGCTATGGGCCTTGTGAGCTTTTGACACCTTGATTTCGGCCTTTTTTACCAGTCTTACCTCCCACCTATCATGGAACATGTTGTTCGACGATGTACAGAATACAGATGTCAAGGTCAAGGTCAAGCTCAACCTAGGTCATCTAAGATAATTGCGTTTTAGGCAAGCGGAATTTACTTTTTGTGAAGTTTTTTGACTGCATTTTTGGTAAAAGCTTCTCAGATCATGATTTCATGTAATATGGACACATAAACAATCGGTGCACACATCAGTATACACACAGACACACACAGACATACAAACACATATAATTGACCTTGACCTAACTGGACTGAAATGACCTCAGCAGCAAAAACCTGGTCGGGTAGTGTGAGAAAGAGGTTCTAGCTGGCTTGGCACCAGAAAACGGCATCGTCATCGGTATATGATAAGCAGCGCACTTGATATCCAGCGGTGACCCAAAACAGCAACATTTTTTAGTTCGACCTGACCTGGAAGGTCAATGACTGACCTGAGAAGGTAAAACTGGGTATCATTGGATTCGTCTCTTCCCAAAGAATCTTTTTGGTCTTTACCGCTAAGCTCTATCTCCAACAGGAACGAAATGGCGCGGGGGGGATGGCAACAACCCCCCCCCCCCCCATGTGCGTTCTAGGATGGGAAAATGGCATGTGCGGGCGAGGTTAAAGGGACCCTCCCACCCATAAGCGTAGGAACCATGGGTGCAAGGGTGCAGCTGCACCCACAATATTTTTCCAGTGGGTGCAGACAATGTATTCTGCACCCACAATAATTTGAAACAAAAACCCCTTTTCTCATCAACACTACTTCCCATGCAGCACGGTAAATTCAGGATATGTTGCCTACTATCCATCTTTCGAAGCATTTGCTACTGTGATGGTCTTCAAAACTTACATTTGTGCTGAAAAAAGGGAAATGGAGCATGTGATTGAACACATATCGAAGCGATGACTCGCTGTCAAATTTTGTAGCCCGATATCCTCGAAAATGGCTAAGTTGGCCGCTTTTACTTTTTGCGGTAGTCAATATTGACAATATTAACCCTCGCATGTGTGCGGCGTTTGCCAGCTTCTAATGTGTAGGCGGAGGGGGGTCGGTCGGACCCCCTGCCGTTCGGTCCCTGATCGAGCTAGAGCTTCGCGGAAAAAAACGAGGGTATTGCCTGTGACGAGAGGAAGCCGATGAAACCCAATTTTAAGGTCCTAGGTCATTGGTTGACCTTCCAGGTCAGGTCAATATTCCAAAAGTCGGGAAAATCGGGACCTGCTAGAACTGTGTAAAGTGAAGCTGTTATCGGGTTTTTCGGGGTGCTGATCACGAATATTTGATGTTAGTTTTGATCACAGATGATTTCTTCATGCATTTAGGCCAGATCAGGTCAGGTCAGGTCAGGTCAACCATTAGGCGTCCTACCGGCTATCCATAGTAGGTTTCAACTACCACTGACGGCGTCGTAGCATGTTACGAAGGCACTAAAACTATTTCGTTAACGTTCAAATGGATGCTTAATTCGAAATCAGCCCGATAAACTACCCTAGAAACATGTAAAACTCGAAAAAGTGAACCGAGGTCATCAAAGGTCAATGACCTGACCTGACCTTCAGGTGACCTTCACACCCACCGTGATGCATGGGAAGAACATCATTTCACATGTTTGGACGTCTACAATCACAAAAAGACTGGAAACGCGCGGATAATGTGAGCTGACATACGCCAAATCGCGACTCAGGCCGAACATGGTCTCGAGAATCAGGTCACAGGTCAAAGGTCTTTCGGGTCAGGGTCATGAAATTTTCAAAGTAGGTGTAAAACTGATCAACTCGAGGGTACTAAAAGTTTTGTCGCATTCGGCCGCTTTTTGCGCGAGTTATTTGCGAAAAACCATGGGGGGGGGGTCATCCGACACCCGTACACATGCGAGGGTCAATGCTTCCAAATGCACTTATCAGTCGGTACCTTTTCGACATGGTACACCCTCAAAGCTCGCAACGAGCCTTCGCTCGGGTGTCGCTCCCTACCCCCCCCCCCCCCCTGCTTCACCGGCCATGGCTGGATTTCTGCACCCATGCACCCACAATGTTCCAACCGTTCCTACGCCCATGCTCCCACCTTCAAAAAGTTGATGAATTGACATGAAAGTGATGTCGCTCGGTTCAGAAAGAGCAAAAACTAATATCTACCAACTTTCATCGAAAAATATTCTCCGGTTTTCAAGATATTAGACTTTTACTTTTGTTTACTTTTTGGGATCTCCGCTGTTCCTAGCGACTTTATTTGAAAGTGCGGCATTTGTTGCGCGCAAAGCAGCATATACATACCACCGCGTGCTATCAAACGTTTTAGTAAAAGATTTAAAAATCGTTAGATCTCCGCTGACGTCACAAATTCTAGGGGGGGGGGGGCATTCTAATGCATTAGCCCCTTAGAATCCGAAAACGGCAAGTTTGAAATTCCATATCTCCGAATTAAAGCATTTTTCGATGTTGTGAGTGCCCAAACCGGTATTTTCAGGCCATGGCCACCAATTTGTCTATCTCAACTCAAAACTAATGTTAAGGTGGGATGGTCACTTTAAGTGGTTGGTTGCCAACATCACAATAATCGATCTGCATTGATGAATACGTCTAATAGCTGTTGAAAACCACTGCCGAAATGTGTGCACGAACCCTCTTCTCATTTTTATTGAGTCATTTTACAGGAGTTTCTCTGTCATTTCAAGTTATTACACCGAAAGCGCATAGGCTAACCAACCACTCTTTTGCTGGAGGGTCGTACGTAACCACTAATCATTCCTGACTCAACATGTGTTTGGATGTAAATTATAAATGTTTTGTGTAAGTGTTCTCGCTTTTCAACTGTAAAAGCATATGTTTATTCTTTTCATGTTTTTGTTTTGCAAATTGTGTCAGTTTTAAAAGGGTGCAAAAAAGAGGAAAGCAGTAAGCACCCAACTGGGTCTGGTCTGACATCACAGCCCAATTTTTTTTTTCAGTCATGGATAAGAACTGTCAAAATAAGTCCAGCATCAGAGAGCAGCTCAACACTGAAGATGATTTAAGGAGTTGTGTGCAGATCGACCATGAGGAGCCAGCATCATCTAGCGACAGCATTGCAGAGGATAGTGTGCCTACCGATGGGGCCAACAAGCCGGCCATGGCGGCTGACTTTGGTGGCGCCGACGCCAGCCATCCGGCCGGTGCTGGGAGAGAGGGAGCAGACGTCTCGTCTGCGGGCGGAGACAGCCGTGCTGGGGGTGATCCTGAGGGCGCCCTGTCTGAGCCGTCAGGGCATGTGAGCGGCCCGGCGGCCCGGCAGGACACCGGACAGCCGTCTGCGCGCTGCTCGGACTGCGCGGCCGGTCCGCTGTTCCCGGAGGAGCCGGCAGCGGGCAGTGAGCGCCGGGCCGCGCCGTCAGACAGCGCTACCGGCAGCCAGAGGGGAGGCGCCGACAGCAGCAGCCAGCCCGCCGACCTGCTCACCGCCCAGGCCCGGCTGCAGGAGGCCATCGACAAGGTCGAACAGCTCGATCGCAGTCTGGAAAAGAAGCTGAAGGAAAACCTGGTGAGTTTTAGTGACGCTCTGCATGCACAACTCCCGAACTCAACCTTACCCACACATTGTTCAATGCTGACTGACGCAGCACCAGACTATCATGTGGAATCTTGAACAGTTTTTTTTTCTCCTGTGATAGTGAAGTTAGCTCACTGCTAAGTATTTGACCAGTTAACTTAGCTGTCCTTTTTGCTTCACTGCATGCGTTGGCCAGAGCTGTACAAGTGTTCATGGTGTGCTTTATATGTGAACTGGTAAACTGGCGCAGCTGCAGCTGTTGCCGAGTCCGGCGAGTGGCGCACCCTCACTGTGCCCCGCCGCGCCCGGTCAGGAGGCCAAGGCTGTGACGGCCGACCTGCGCGCTCTGGTGCGTCGCGAGCTGGCGGAACTGGACGGCCGCCGCGCCGGCCGGCAAGCCAGCCGTGAGGAGGCCGACAACACGCTGCAGTTTCTGCGCGTCCTCGTCGACAACGGTGAGACGTTACTGCCGTCGCCGACCCGCGGGGTGTAGCTGTCACTGCGGCGGCCGGCCCGCGGGCTGCAGTTTCTTTCCGAGTGCACAAACTAATCGAATGGACGCTGGAAATGTCTTGCGCGTGAATAGACAGATCGATTGTAGTGGAGCTAGTACCACATCTCCCTTGTTCAGCGATAACTAGCGGCTAGTGGCGTAGTTGGAAGTTTGTTTTCGGGATCGAACCGGTTCGACGTTTGCATGATGCTAACTGCTACGGACAACACCACAGAGGGACAATGGCCGGCACTCAGCGGCAGTGGCCACAGTACATAGTGCCCGGAAATAATTTGCCCCTCCATCGGCACGACGCCATTTTTCATTGGTGACCCCAAATTTCATTGAATTAGGGGTCACCGATGACGTCACAGGTCAGGTCAAAGATAAAATGTTTCACCGTTCACGGGTCTTCTAGGGAATGCGCTATAACATCGAGTAAAACGCATTTTGTCGAAAATCAGCGATAGGGCGTCAGATGCCTAGCACATATGTTGCTATTAGAGCCTAGAGGTCACTGATAATACCAGGTCAGGTCACAGGTCAGGTCACCAAGGGTCAGCACATGAACCCAACTTTAATAAGGTTGTGCGATGAATGTTTTATGGCCAGTTTTTTTTCATTTCCAACTCAATGGTGTTGGTTATAAGACCATCAGGTACGGTTGAGGTCACTTTCTGGTGGAGGTCAGGTCAAGGTCAGGTAAAAAAAGGTCAAATTTCAAAGTTGATATTTTTGCATAAAATGGGTATCGATTCGATGCAGCTCGTCACGGGGAGTCTAATGGTGGTCTTTGTTTTGCGCTACGAGGTCTGGAATTGCTAAAAATTGAGTTTGAAAATTTGACGTCATCAATTTTGAACAGTTTTTTTCGCTATAAATTGGCCAAAAAAAAGGCATCGATCTCAAATTTGGTATTTAGATAGAAGGCGGTAGGGACTATTATTTATATTCCGGTTTTTACGAAATTCAAAAAACTTTTTGGATTTTTTTGGCTATTATATTCAAAAAATCTATTTTTTATTTTTGGGGGTCAAAATCCAAAAAATTCGAAAAACCGAAATGGCAGTTTTGTGGCCCTTTTGATTCCACACCTTTTTTGTCTGAAACATTTTTCTGTATCTCTAAAGCTGTAGGCCTGACAGCTCTTCCCGCGAAACCTTTTTTTGGGTCGAAAATGGTAAAATGACGTCACTCTGACGTCATTAGCGGCCAACCTATCATAGCCTTTGGAAAAAATTTTGGTCACCATGTGCGCTAGCTGCTCCCAGGAGGGTACTGAAAGTTTGGTGACGATCGGCGCAGCGGTTCTCGAGATATATAAAAAAACTAAAGGGGGGGGGGCAAAAAAATGCCCCCCCCCCACCGCCTGGAAGGTTAAACGTTTGGTAGCAGGCGGTGAGCCAGGAGTCACGGCAATTCAGCGTGACACGGTGAGTGATGGAAGTCGCTATTCAAGCGACAAGGAGGCCCACAATTCAGCAGCCTGGAAGGGTAACAATGCAGTACATATATGCTCCTGTGCGCGCAACAAGTGCCGCATTTTCAGCTGCCAAACTATTGTTTCCGAATAAAGTCGCCTTGGTCGCTAGGAATAGCAGAGATCCCAAAAAGTTAACAAAGTAAACGTCTAATATCTTGAAAACCGGTGAATATTTTCGGTGAAATTTTGTAAATATTCGTTTTTGCTCTTTCTGAACCGAGCGACATGACTTGCACGCCAATTCAATAACTTTTTTGAAGGTGGGAGGGCAGGGCATATTTTAAGGATTTTTTACTGCGTCCCAAAGGTGGCATAGGGCACATGCTTCGATCGGAAAGGGCACATACCTTATCCACCTGCATCTCTGTATCTGCTTACTACCTATATCGACCAGTTACTGCAGCCGTTTTGGAGCGGCTCACGGCCGATAGCACACCGGGCGTGCGCTAGCCGCCGGCGCTAAGCGCTAACCACTGAGTGCGCGTGGCCGACTGCCGCCCCGATGGCGCTGGCCCCCGACACCGGCGCGGCGCTGCTGACCCATGGAGGGGGGAGGGGGGCTGATAATTAGTTGAGCCGGAATTGGGATAGAAGCCGGTATGGGATTGGGATAGAAGCTCAGCGAGACTAAGGGATTGTGTGGTGCCTTCGGTACGCCCCTCAAAATCACCCGCGTAGGGCCCTCAGGGCCGCCGGTTATGAAGCCTTTGGAGGCACTGGTGTGGGCCCTCACAGGTACCGGTGTGATGCTCTCAGAGGCATTGGTGCGGGCCCCCAGAGGTGCCGCTGTGGGCCCTCAGAGGCGCCGGTGAGGGTCCTGGACCACAGTTGCCGTTGTGGGCCCTCAGAGACACTGCAGTGTGGGGTTGTCACAGTCCGGTGTGGGACCCTTAGAGCTGCTGGCTCGAACCCTTTACAGGCCGACAGGGGCTCTCAGAGACCGACAAGGGGCTCTCAAGAAGTCTGCGGTGCCTTCGGGAGCCCTGTGGAGTCCTTAGAGACCAGCAAGGTACACTCAGACGCCAGTGGGGCCCTCAGAGTCGTCGGTGTGGGGCCCTCGAAAGTCACCGGTGAGTGGCCGTCCGATGCGGCTCCGGCGTTGAGCCCCCAGAGCCGCCGATATATGGTCTTAAGAAGCACTGGTTTCGGGACCTCATTCAGGGGTGCCGGTTGCACTCAGAGGTGGCAGTGTTGGGCCCTCAGCTAGGCACCGGTGTGGGGCATTCACAGCCGCCGGTGAGGGCCCTCGCAGGCGCCGTTGTGGGGGCCTTCAACCACTGGTTTAGGGGGGTCATCGCAGGCGTGTGTGGAACCCTTAGAGCTGCTGGTCCCTGTAGGCCGGTAAGGGCCCTCAGAGGCCGGCAAGTAGCCCTCAGAGGTCGCCAATAGGCCCTGAGAAGCCGGCAAAGGGCACTCAAAGGCCGACAAGGGACACTAAAAAGCCGGTGTGGGGCTCTTATGGAGTCTGTTGCATAGTAAAAGACCGAGGCATGCTAATTATTATTGCTTGCACTTTTCCGCTGAAACCGTGACATTTCAGTGTGGGACGCAGTGGTCCAAATTTCGCGAGTGCTACGTCCCAAAGGCAGGGGGCTGCGTCCCAAAATGGGACGCAGTCAGTATGTTAAAATATGCCCTGTGGGAGGGTCCCTTTAATTGTAACGTGTCATTTTTATTCACTGGTGAGTATCGCTGGCATTGTTTACCACTCACCTACCTTTCAAGAAGTATTTGTTAAGTGCCTCGTGAGAAACGTGTGTTTTTAATGCACGGTTGGACGCAGTAGTCCGACTATGATGAACACAGCATACGTCGTCCTCAGTAGTTTGCCTGGGCCGCAGTGGCCCACTTTTAGATAGTGATGCACGAGCTGCGATATTAAGAGTTGGCATGCACATAACGACTGCAATACAATGGTCAAAGAGAGCATTTAAATGCAAATGAAGATGAGTTGAATGGAGCAGTACATAGTCTTTGGTTTACAGCTATCGAAAATGGACAAGCAAGCATTACAAGAGCAAGCAAGGACAAGAGACTAGCATTTGTTATGAAGTTCAGACATGTGCACCGCAAAACCAGACAAGCGTCGCTGGCGCTTTCACGAACCCATAGCACGGCGTCGTCTCTGCTCTGCCCTTGTCTCCGCTCTGCCTCAGTCTGTGCTCTGTGCCGGTATCGGTCCGCTGTGCGGGCTCGCCGTGCCGGTCAGGCCGCCGGTTTGACCTTCCAGCGAGTGACGGCGCGGCGGGCGCGGTGCAGCAGCGAGCGGTTCAGGCGGCACAGCACGCAGGGCGCCGCGCACAGCAGGCAGCAGCCGGTGGCCAGGCACGCGCAGGCCGACTGCGCCGGCGGCCAGCAGCACCGGTCGGCCGCCGCCGGCGCCGCCCGGCCGCCGGCACTGGCGGCACCTCTTCCCGGCTGCCGCGTGACCACCCCACTCGGGGCGGGCGCCGGGCCACCAGCGTCCCTTCCCTTCACCTGATGGCGGCTGACGTCAGCCGACTCTGGCTGGGGTGTGACGTCAGCCGACTCTGGCTGGGGTGTGACGTCAGCCGACTCTGGCTGGGGTGTGACGTCAGCCGACTCTGGCTGGGGTGTGACGCCAGCCGACTCTGGCTGGGGTGTGACGTCAGCCGACTCTGGCTGATGGCGTGCGACGTCGCTCTCTTCCGTTCGCTGCTCTTGAACGTCGCTGGACGATGGCTGCTGACCGCGGACGCCACATTGCACACGTTTCTGACTAGTCGCCTCCGTACGCACCTGGTCCATTTCGCTGTGCCAGGACCCGGGACGGCTAGCCGTACTCAGAGACGCGGCGCTGCGCACGGACTGTCGGCTGCTGCTGGTGCTCTCTGAGTCGGACAGGGTGGGCTGTCGGTGCGCGCGGCGTCGCCGGCCGTGGCCGGTGTGGGGCTCAGATGTCGGCCGGCCGCCGAGCGTGATGACCACGCTGGAGCGGTGCGCCGTGCTGCGCTCCGGCAGCGGGATGGACACGCTGCCCCAGCGGTCCCGCTCGGGCGCCGGCCAGGCGGCGCCGTCCGGCGCGCCCCAGTCACTCAGCGACTGGGTGCGCACCGGCGGCGGCCCGTCCCAGGCGAGACTGCCGCGCGCCGCCAGACCGCAGGCCGGCCCGAGCGCCTCGTGGACGCGGGTGGTGCCGCCGGGCGCGTGGCGCTGCTGGCCGCCCTCTCGCCTCAGTCGGGCCACTCGCGGGTCGCGCAGCACGCGGGTCTCCACAGACGCCACCAGGTGTCGCGGGATGAGGAGCACGTACGGCTGGCGACCCGACCACCGCCGGGACGCCGACGGAGACGCCTCGCCGCCGAGGGAGAAGCGCGCCACCCTGATGGAGGCAGCCGGGGATTGTGCGGGACTGGACTGAACGGATGGTCCCCGGGACGGCGGGCTGGCCGATGAGCCCGTCGCTGACGGTGCCGGCCCGCCGGCATGCTGCGAAGCCGCGTCGGCTGCGCTCTGAGCGCCTCCGGTGCCGGAGTCTGTCTCAGTGCCGGCTGGTCCGGCGCCGGCGCTCTCAGTCGCCGGTCCCACGGCCTCGTCAAGGGTTTCAGTTCCTAATGTCGGCTGGAGGACACGACCCGGGGGTGTCCTGTGCACGGCAACACG